TATTATACTTTCTGATATTAAACAGTGTTTTTGTGGACTTGTATACTTTCTGATATTAAACAGTGTTTTTGTGGACTTGTATACTTTCTGATATTAAACAGTGTTTTCATGGACTTCTATACTTTCTGATATTAAACAGTGTTTTTGTGGACTTCTATACTTTCTGATATTAAACAGTGTTTTTGTGGACTTTTATAGTTTTCTGACAATAAACATTGTTCTCGTGGACTTTTATACTTTCTGATATTAAACAGTGTTTTCATGGACTTCTATACTTTCTGATATTAAACAGTGTTTTTGTGGACTTCTATACTTTCTGATATTAAACAGTGTTTTTGTGGACTTTTATAGTTTTCTGACAATAAACATTGTTCTCGTGGACTTTTATACTTTCTGATATTAAACACTGTTTTCGTGGACTTGTATGGTTTCTGATATTAAACGCTGTTTAGGTGGACTTGTTTAATATCAGACAATAAGTTAGTTAAAAACACTGTTTAAAATCTGTACCACATTAGCGTCCATTTAAATTTTTTTTAAAAAAAAGTTAGCCAAACAGGTTGTGTAATGTATGCGGTCATAAGGCTATGTACAGTTGTTTGTACGTATATCTAAGTAACGCATGCCAAATTTCAGACCGCTAACTCATATGGTTACGTAGTCACGCCCTCTGAGCTAGATTTTAAGCTAAGTAAGAGTTATGTACATTGGTTAAAATATACTTTGTCTTACCTGTCTCCTCGTCCCCAGCAGCTGGATTACTCCCCGCAGCCGCTGGCAAATTTCCCCCAGTGTGCTTTTCCAAGTGGCGAGGATCGTCCACCATTGCCTCCTCTTCTTGTGCTAGCTCATGAGAAATGAGCCTTCCCTGCCAGCACGTGACCAGGTTGCTATGGCAACTCACACCACTTAGCCGTGACCGAGAGTAACCTTTAGCTCTGTGACGCACTTAAAGTTAAGACGAGACATCCATGAAAGCACTGTTTAATACCTGAACATGCTATAAGTCCATGAAAGCACTGTTTAATATCAGAAAACATTAAAGACTATGAAACCATTATGTGGTATCAGAAAACACTATGGACCTTGAAAGCATTATTTACTATCTGGAAATAAATAAAATGCCATGAAAGCATTGTTTAATATCAGAAAACACTAAAGCCCATGAAAGCATTGTTTAATATCAGAAAACACTAAAGCCCATGAAAGCATCGTTTAATATCAGAAAACACTAAAGATCATGAAAGCACTATTTACTATCTGAAAATGCTAAAAATCCACGAAAGCACCATGACACTGGGGCTGTGACTCTAGTGCGCCCCCTACTACTAGGGCAAGTACTGCCCACAGCAGTGAAAATAGTGATATATATAAGTTCAGAAAAGCACTGACTACACGGCCACCCCTCCCCCCACCGTCTTCTGCGAGGTTCCGCCCACATTGGCCCAGTAAATGTTACAATGTTGCAATTTGCACTGTCAGGTTGTAGCTGACAGGCTAAATTTTTAAGTCTGAGACCGATAATATGCACAAAATGCAATTCAGTAATGATATGTTTAACATGATTAAATGATTAAAATATAACAATGTGTAAGTCATAAGCTAATTTAACTTTGCAAACTTGCTCATATATATCTAGGTTAAGCATGCCAAATTTCACACCACTAGCTAATACAGTTAAGCCATCACGCCCCCTCTTGGTACTTTTAAGCCAACACTAAATGCTGTTCCATTAAGATGAATGGCCTAACTTAGCAAATTCTAAGGCCCACTGTAGCTCTGTGGTAAGTGCTGCGCTCACGAAACTTGATACACCCACCTTTATACATGCCAAAATTCAGACCACTAGGTCACGGGGTTCAGGCGCAGGACCCTCTGAAGTTACCTGCCACTTTAACGCTTTAAAGCCATTCAAAATGTAAACTTACAGGTCTGCCAAACATGTTCCATAAGAGCTGCGCTCATGAAGCTTGAGACATTAATTGATACTTATACCTAGTTTGTTGGTGCCGAATTTCAGACCTCTAGCTCATACGGTTTGGC